AGTGATATGATGGGAAATGTGTGGTTGAAAAAGAAGAAAAAATTATTGATGTGATGAAAAATATTATTTTATTAAAGAATGTGTGGTTGAAAATGAGAATTGATTTACTGTAGAAAAATCTAAATCCCTCCCAAACAGGGCCTTCATAAGTACATGAGGTCCAGTGAGAACTCAAGAAACGAGTGTGCATATTTCATCAAAACCCATAAAGTCATATACAGATCACCACACAGACCATCCAAAAGAATGCATTTATTTGACTATATGATTAACACAGTATCACAGCTTTGGAATATCTGCATATACTTCATTGAGGCAGACAGATACCATAATAGTCTATTAATAACCATGAACATTTAAGAGATCCACCAATTCAACTATTTTTTTTCTTAAAGGTCAAGAATCGGTTGAAGTCTTCAAAGATAATGCATTGCCTAGAAAGAAAGACATCTTCTCTATAGTTATTCTTCAAGCCAAGTCCCTAAAACATTATGGGAACTTCCCAACACCAGTCTAAACAATGTATTAAAACTGAAACTGCCATACAACTACATATGATAAAGCAAAACAAATCAACCGAAGTTAAATGCAGTAGAAAGACTCAGAAGCATCCAAATTAAAGTGCCTCAAGTGTCCCGACTAACATTTCCCATGGAAAGCAATGCTAGATACAATGTTTAAAAAGGATTAACTGGGTACCAAGGCATTTTACATCTGTAACAAAATACAAAAATATGCTCATTGAAAACCATAATAAAACTAAGCATCTGTTTGACTGCCTTTTTTGGCATTTTAAAGCATTTTCACTTTTTGGAACAGTAGTATATTATTTAAAAATGAAAGTGACACCTGACACACCATAAATTGAAATACTGCACAACCAATCGTTGAAATTTCATTTTCCCATTCCTGCCCTCAATGAAACACAACCAGTTTACTATTTTACCCGTATTTTCTCTCTTTACCCATGACAATTGCAATTGAGGGCAAATTTGAACAAATCAAAATACTAATAAAAAATGGCTAGTGAGACAAATGAAACTGAGGTGAAATGACTGTATGGTGTGATAGCCCGGCCCACACGTATTGTAGAAAAAATTAAATTCTGATGAAAAAAGAGGCAGTCGAACAGGGGCTAATTATCAAAATTAAAAGTGTAACTTGCAAATGAACATAAAATAGATCGATACAATAACAATAACAATAATCTCTCAAATTAGTAATCACGTATCAAGGTGACTATTAGAAGTAGAGACAACTAAAAAATTTCTTATATTATAGCTACTAATATGATCTTTAAGGAAAATCATTAACCTCTCTCCCTCTCCCTCTGCACGTATAGACAGGAGGAAAATAAAAGAACCTATAACATATTAGGTTACAAAGAAATGACTCAAATTGCTAAGGCTACTAATTGGAGGTCTGGACAATGCAATATATGCAGGCAAAACCTTAGTCACCTTGAACCTCACAAAATGACATTTGAGGATCAGATTTCGAGGCATTTTATGAAAGCCTCTGTGAGACAGGATTCAAAGCGTAAGCCTCAAATAGCTTTTTTAGACAATGGTTAACTATTACCCTTCTTCCATTATAGCATTTCGCACAAGTTATGTGATATATTAAGCCCTTGTTTGAGCCCATTTTGAGGGGGAAAATGTATCTTTGAATAGTGCTTTTTTTTGGAGAATGTGTGGTTAAAAAGTAAGAATAAGTTTTCAATTTACATATAAAATTATTTTATTGGAAAATGTGTGGTTGAAAATGAGTTTTGAAAAAATGAGTTTTTGAAAAAAATGGGGCTGAAACAAGGGCTAAAGAAAATTACTATAATCCGAAATTAGAAATGAGGAATCGATAATTCAGTGAAAAGGCTTTACTCAACTCAACCAAGGATGCAATTGATTCTCAACAAAGTAACTAATAACATAGATGACCTTGCACAGAAAAATAAAAAACCTTAAACTGCATAACTTCCAATATGAGTGCATTTATATCTGATTTGCCGAAAACCTGAAAATAAATGCTAACAAATAAATATGCACATATGGCATGACTAAACACTACCGTTCGACAATGGAGCAGAGTTGTTACCACAATTAACGACAGTATATAGCCTGATCTATATGTGGAGGGATCTGCTTTATCTCTGTTCCAAGTTCTTGTTCAATCCTATACCTGAAAGATGGGAGTATGAAAATCATAACAATTCCACAAATGAAGTAATATTCTGTCAATGAAAAACAGAATGACAGCATACAAATTGAAGCGGTCTTCATAGGTTATCAAATTCACAGCTAACCCAAGATGTCCAAACCTTCCAGATCGTCCAACCTACACATGACAGTGTTGTCCATGAAAAAATAGCACAGCAGCCATGTTTAGTACACTGGCATAAAATTTAACATACCCTGTGTAAATATGTCTCTGAGTTCTTTGGAAAATCAAAATTGATAACGACATTGACTGCTTGGATATCTATACCTCTCGTGAATAGATCTGCAATAGATTGCAAAAGGAAGATAAAATAATTATTGCAATAAAGGATATAGGATACTGTTTAACGAGAAAGACAATTTTATTGGATGAGACTAGAATCAAAATGCAGGCAAAAGTCATGTCCCTTCTTTCTCCTCCAATCTAATAAGTGGTTAGGAGAAATGCCGCATCCTTCATTTAAGAACGCGAATTCAATGAAGATTGCAAATGCAGGACTGCAGGTGTGATCACCTAATAATTACCTATGTGGGAATACAAAAAACTACCTATTAAAAAATATACAATCATCGTTAGTTGAGTTGCAGTTAACGTAATTGGATTATTTTAGAAATGGCAGCAATAAAACTAATAAAATGTATTCCTTCATCTATTTAAGCCCATTTAGTTACCAGAAAATAATCGAGAAAGCCCTTGCATTGAAAGCCCAAAAGTGGGTAGCATGTCACTTCACCAAATGCTTCAAAAATAGCACGTGCCTAAGAAACTTTTCAACTATTGCCCCTCAATATTTCCTTGCTGTTATATTAAAATATCCAATATAAACTTGTCTATTCACTCTTACAACATGCACTAATTGTTCACAATCTGCACCAACTTGGAGGAAAACACATATCCTACTTGCATCACAACCAACCACGTGCAATATTAACATTTCCCCACTGAATCCAATTGTTGCAAGCAGAGCACAATACATCTAGGAGACTAATTGCCTACAATTTTTAATGCATTTATATGAACCATTATTGTTATGAACCGTGGGCATAATTGAACAAGTTGAGCATTGCATACTCATCTGAGAACAAATGTAGATGTAAAAGCATAGTTGGTGCAAGAAGATCGAGATCATACCCGTGCAAACAAGATTCCTACAGGCACCATTGCGGAAGTCATGAAAAACTCTGTTGCGATGATCTTGAAGCATCTTAGCGTGAATATAGAAACAAGAATAACCAAGCTCTGTGATTTTCTTGGCAAGAAGTTCTACTCGATTCACAGAATTGCAGAAAATAATAGATTGGTTTATTTGAAGCTGCAGGCAAAAAATTTACACGTATATAATCTCCAAAACAGAATTTCCATGGAAAAAGAAAAAACCACAATGCATCATCCACAAGACAGTCATGCTCAATCAAGAGTTCAAACCTTTGAAAAGAGAGTATTGAGGCAGTGAACTTTCTGTCTTTCTTCAACAAATGCATAATACTGTGTTATACCCTTGAGAGTTAGCTCATCCATAAGGTTGATGACATAAGGCTTCCGCAGGTATCTATCTTTGAAGTCTTTCACCGTGACAGGAAATGTAGCAGAGAACATTAAGATCTGACGGTTTGAAGGCAGAAAACTAATTAATTGCTCGATGGAAGGTTGGAACTCCGGTGACAAAAGCTTATCAGCCTGAAAGACAGTGGTAAAAACAGGATGAAGTTTACCCATCAATAATAACTTCTTTTCAAAGCCAGAACCAAATAAAAAAGGATCATAGTACAATCAGATGTCCATAATCTGCCACTTGGTTTGGAATGGCATGACTGTACAAAAGTCAATTCTGCTATTTCAACCTTGGACCTTGGGCATCAATCAATGGCAATAGACCTTAAACAGCAACCAACAGAGGCGTAAATACTTATGCTTCGAAGCAAGAAATTGTAACTATACAAACTAGTTCTCCAAATCCAACAGTATCCCTTGTCTATTCATAAGTTCTAGATAAATAACTCAAATCAAAATTCAAATAGCAGTAACATCTAGTGCTGTTATCATTTGTTCAGCAAAGTAGAAGTGCTAAACAGTTTAGCACATCACACGCATTTCATGAAAAAAATTAACATCTTCCTAAAGGAATACTTCCAGCCTCCCACTCCGAGGAGAAAAGTTGAACTGCTGGGAAGGGGAGGGGTTGGTGGTGGTGAAGAGATGAAAACTAGTAAGGAATGCTTCCAGCCTCCCAATAACAAATACTGATAAAAGAACAATAACATTTCACATCTAATTTGATTGGCTCATAACTGTGAAAGTAAGGATATATCGAACGTTTTCATACCTCATCCATCACAAGCATAGAGCAATCTTTCAAAACGCACACACCCTTTTTAGCAAGATCAAGGATTCTCCCTGGAGTTCCAACAAGCAAGTGAACTGGTTGATACAAACGCATTATGTCATCTCTTAAGCTAGTTCCACCTGTGGTAACCATGACTTGAACTTTTAGATGCTTCCCAAGCTCTTTGCAAACTTGTGACGTCTGGAGGGCTAATTCTCGCGTTGGGACAAGAATAACAACTGCGACAGTGCAAATAGGTGAGATGCAATATTAGAACTGAATAATTTAAAAACTGATCATAGCAAAGATATAATTGAAGCCAATAAATGAGAAAAGGTCAAACTGAGAAATTAAATGCCTAGAAGTTCACTCAGATACGGCATTAAAGAGTATATATGATGTATCAAGCAAAACAACTAAGAGCAATCTTGTAACTATCTGTATCTGCTATCCAAAATAAACATCTTCATATGATTTTTTAAAAGGATATCATATAATGGCACAAGTGAGTCGACTCTAACTTGGGAAAAAAATAATGAAAGCTACTGTTATTCATTCATTTATCTTAAACTCGATTTCTGCTCTCAAAAAGCAATAGGTCTAGTTCAATCAGCAAAAATATAAACTCTCACTTTCACAAGAAAAAAAATGAATCAAGTTGCACCCATTCTTGAATTTGAATTACTTCCTCTTCCCTGCCATTCTTCTGTTAAAGAAGTCAAAATTCTACAAGGTAGGGCGTAGAGATGCCATATTCACAAGAACTGTCAAATAAGATTAAAACCTTGAATAACATTGTTATCTTGATCAATTTTCTCCAGGGCAGGAATGCAAAAGGCAGCGGTTTTCCCAGTTCCATTTTTTGCTCTAGCCAAGATATCACTTCCAGTGAGAGCAATTGGAATACTCTCCTCCTGAATTGGAGAAGGTCTCTCAAATCCCTTCTCATATATTCCCATAAGCAGCTCGCGCTTCAAAAAGTAGTCTTCAAATTCATTTCCTTTAGTAGCTGTTACATCCTGCAAGGTAAATAGGAATAGTAATGCTACTATGGCTACATATCCAAACAAATGATAGTCTAAACAATTGTGGAAGGACTGGTCGTGCTTCTCAAAATCTCAGAAGTTGATGCACATAAATTCACAGCTACAAGAAACAAACAATTGGCAAGTATAAAACACATATTAGAACCCGAATAATCTTCTTCATTGAGATCCGATGAACTATATTCTGCAGGCAATTTAGTTAATAAATTAACTGTGCAGACAATTAGATAAATAAGCAAGCAGGATGCCAGGATCTACGTGTCTTAGACAAAATGCTACACGCAGATAGCCAGGTATCATAAACATCCAGTCTGAATTCTCTCTTATTCTCAGCATGACATCTGCTACACACTTCCATTAACCAGACACGGGAAACACCTAGACTGAATTATCTCTCTTATTCTCAGCATGACATCTGCTACACACTTCCATTAACCAGCCACGGAAGGAAGCAAAAGAAAGGTTAACAAATTGACAAACGTTACAAATAAAATTGATGCACAATGTGAAGCCAGCCTGGATCCAGAGTATCCATACCTGTCCACGTCCAAAATGCATCGGAAACAAACGCATTAAGACATGTACATAACATGGACATACGTGTTCAACAAGATTTCCAACAATTTGCGAATTTTTGGCAATCCAAGGGCAAGCATTATGATGCAAAACAGAGTAAAATGGTCATTTTACAAAGTACAATGTCAAAAACCACTTTGCTTTCAGAAAAAATATTAATTTTAAATCAAAATCAACAATTAATTTTAACCAAACATTTTATGGGATCCAAAGCTTTTCAACCACAAATTTCATCAACTTTTATCAAAATCTACTAAAATCCGATTTAATCCCCACCACACAGGAGCGGGCTTAGTTTCTTTTTGTTGTTGAACCTACACATCCTCCTCTAATTAATTTAATATGTATTTTTTCTCTCTTCTAAAAGCTATCCAATTCAAAAGGCAGTAAACCACTAAAATGATGATTGTTAATTCACCACTGTGATTAGGTTTAAATCTTGGATTGAGTTTTCTGAATAATCAATTAAATAAAGGTGTAATTTATTTGTGTTATGGTATACGAAAGAGCATTTCATCATGCTTGATCGACCACCAAATTTAAAACGGATACATTTAACCATCCAAAATAAAAGATAAGAACTGTGATTCAAACCTAATGCGTTGACTTGAAATTTAGGCCGAATTATTTATTAAATACTCAATCAATCCTATATATAGGAGTACAATCCTTGTAATAGAAGGCAAATAAAAAGGAAAGAATATAAATCATATACAAATATGGATAATATTAATTCCCAATTAGACTAAGATATAAGCTAGAAAGAAATATTTCCATAATTCATATTTTAACTCTCCCCTCAAATTGGTGCATCGATATCTCACATGCCCAACTTAAATATGATGTATAGAATAACGATATTTTAAAACCGTTACTCGACTCTGATTGCAACTCCAAGCAGTAAAAACCTTCCATTCTCCACTAGTTCCAATCGTCGGCTTAGTTATATTGTCTTGTGTAACGGATTAATTAAGATATGCACATAAAATCATCACCAAAAGACTGAAACTTATGCACAAATAGCACGCACCCTCTTGTGGGGGCCTTCATATGCATCCACAAATAGCCGACAAGTAGAAAGCCAAAAACCTATCCACGGTAACTAGAAGGCTTGCTCACATAGCAAAAGCTTAGCATGCACAGTGAAAAGGGCTGCCAGAGCTTAGGTTTTCAAACGAGAGAGTCAACCACCACAGGAAGGTGCTTCACCCACTATAGATAGTCTTCGTGCAATAATAGAGATAGAAATGTCTAATCTGTCAAACCTCTAAGGAGTACTAGAGGGCTGTGTCAACTAATACGAGGAGTCATGCATAGCTGAAAAAAATTTCAAAGGGTATCTTGCAGCAAGAACAAAAAATAATCCTGACCAAAAAATTTGGTCAGCTAATACAAAGAGTCATGCATCACTAAATTTGAATCTCAAAACCACCAAAAGATTAAAGGTAGTAGAAGACTTGACAATGTAGTAGAAGGTCCAACAATATCTATAGCAAGAAATCTTTTGAAGAGAAATCTAATGTCTGAAACTTCAAGAACAGACCAAAAACAACTCAATCAGAACACAGTAAAATCAATCCTGACCAAATAGATAGCATCCCAAGAAACAGATCACGCATAATTGGGATGATGGAGAGAGGTCCCTGGACCAATGAAGAGGTGAAATAAGGGTCATACTAAAGTTTATGATCAACTTGCCACAGGTAGAGACATCAGGGACTAACTTTCTCCAATCTGAAATTTCAGATAATTTTTTAAGTTTTTAGAAAGTCCGTTGACTAAAATGGACGATTCTGAAACCTTAGGAACCAACTTTCATAAATCTGAATGCTTGGGGCTAATATGCAAGATTTTGAAACCTCAAGGATCAAGTTGCATAATTGGTAAACTTCGGGGACAGAATTACAATTATTAAAAATAGAGAAAAATTTCGAAAAATTTGCCACCCACAATCAAATTAATAAAGGCAGTCCAAATAACTAGAAGAAGCCGAAAAATAACCATGACATGCAACAACCTAAATTAAGCCCCTGTTTGGTGGCCATTCTTTTTTAAAAAAAATTGTTTTGAATAGTGAATTTGTGGAGAATATGTAATTAAAAAGTAGGAAAAAAATTTGAGCTTACGTGTACATTAATTTATTGTGTGAATGTGTGGTTAAAATAAGTGTGTGAAAAAAAAAGAGTTCTGAAAGAATGAGAGTCAAACGGGGGCTAAACAACCACAATACCCAAATCTGAGGTCCAAATTCAATGCCATATAGAGAATCAAACCAGGGTTGCAAGGCAGGCACATCCAGCAGCTGTGGAGGCTTGCGACAGCTCCAACTAAGACACGAGAATGTTGAAAAATTGGCTGAAAATTAGCATGACTGGTCTTCACACACAGGGAAGGATTCGTACACAGAGAAAAGTTCTCACACATAGAAGCTCGCCTAGCCTTCACACACCTATGACCTAACTGAAGCCTTGCTAACACGGGAAGAGCCTTTGCCTAGGGAATGGCTCCGTGAAAGGAATATGTCAACACAGCAGAGAGGTTACGTGCACAGCAAATGTCCTTCACTAGGGTTTAAGTTCAACTTAGACTTCACTGAAAATATGTTAAATCAACCT